TCACATAAAAGGGTTTTTGGAGTTCACAATGGGATCAAATATCCTACAACAGAAGAGCAAGGAGGGGCTAGTGGGGTAGAAGAATAGGATGAATATGAAAAAAATATATGTCAAAATTGCATGAAAATGTCACAATGAAACACTTGACCTTGTATGCTTAATTTTAATTGTCAGTTTCCTGCAAACTAGAATCACTTAGCAAGAAAGTCTCAATGAGGGATTGTCTAGATTAGCTGGTCTATGAGCAGGTCTGGGAAGGTTCTCTTAATTACACAAATGGAGATTACTGCCTACTGTGAGTGATCTGCTGGGCAGGAGTTCTGACTTGTGTAAGAGCAGCATGCATGCATCTTTTGTTCTTCCTTCCTGATCACTGATGTCATGTGACAACCTCTCTCAAGCTTCTCCCTTATCTCTGATAGGATGTGCTGTAACCTGGAACTGTGAGCCAAATGAATCCCTTCTCCACTAAGTTACATTCATAAGGTGTATTTTGTCACAGCAACTGGAATGGAAATCAAGTCAGAAATTAGAACTTATAACTTTGATTTTTTTTTTTAAGATGGTGGAGTAATGTCAGTCCTTTCCTGACCACACACGTCAAAGTTGCCTGTGGATTTCCAGCAGTGCCAGGAGGCATAGGCTACTGCAATATTGTGCTTACAAACAACTTCTGCATCAAACAGACCGCAAAGTATTTTTTCTAAAAAGAAGTTATTGTTGAAAGCCATGTCTGTTACATGCATCTTTTCTCCAGCAAGTCAAATTTAGACCAAACAACATGTGACTAGGAACCTTCCACTAGCATGGATCAGTCACCCAAACCTCAAATTTCACTGCAAAATATCTAAAGGCTAGGAGAAAATAAAGACTTAGCACGATGGTTTCTAGTGCTAATACACACTCTATATTATGTTCAAGCCATATACCTGTTCATGAATGTGTGTATATGTGTGTAGGTGCACACACCTCTGGGGATAAAGAGGATGGAAAGCCGGAAGGAGGAGGAAATAGTGTATCATTCCCTCACGCTGATAGTCAAGTTAAGGAGTCTGGATAAAGAGAAGGAGCTAATATTTCCTGAGTGTGGATTAGCAACCAGCCACCACACCTGGGACTTTACAGAACTTTTTCCTCAGGCATCCACTATTACCACACACACAGATTATCGACGCCACTGTCTTTCAAGCTGAGGTTCAAAGTAGTTCAAGAGCACCCAAAGTCAGGTATCTGGACAGTGACAAAGACAGTCTTTGAACCTGTGTCTGTCTGATTTCAAACAATAGAGCACTGAAGAGGAATCAGATTCCAAAGAGGACCACACTAAGCTACATCCAATATCTGGAGAGGACTCTAAAGAGGACTACATGTTACTGAAGAGGAGTAAGACACAGAGGAAGGAGATCAGTGAGCTGCCTCCTGTAGCTCACACAGAGTTACTGGATTATTATGTTTTCTTAGTGTTTGGAATACTTCTGTTTTCCCTTACGGATATAAAATCTTCCCCCCACACACCCCTTTTTTAAATTCTTTTAGAGAAGCATCTCATTATACAGCTTGACCTCAGACTCATGATCCTCAGCTTCTTGAGTGTCAAGATTTGCCTGTGTGAGAGAGAGAGGGAGACTATGCCTGGTTCTGCTTCTATCTTAATTTTAAAAGAATCCACTATATAGTATATCGTTTTAAAACAACAGTTCCAAGATCAAAAAGGATACCGTAAGAAATGTGAGCAAAGACGTATGTATATGGGGAAGCTGGACCCCTCATACACTGCTGGCAAGAATGTGAAGTGGTAGAACTTGAGGTTCCTTTAAGGCCCAGCCCAACAATTCCACTTCCGGTAGGGTAACCACAAGTGCTGCGACCTACATCTGTACCACAATTGCGTGTACACATCCACACCACGCTCCTTACCACAGTCAAAAACGGAACCTGCACCGGGAAGTAGAATCCGTCACCTGACAAACGGAAAACAAAATGTGGCCATCCGCAAAATGGAGCACAGCTCAGTCATACAAGGAAGGAAGCGCTGATACACAGAATACTATGGATGGCCAGGGGGACACTATGACAAGGGAAAGTAGACAGTCAAGTCACAAAGGTCACGTGTGAGTCCGTGGAGAGGCAATGTCCACAATTGGCAAACCAACAGACAGAAGTAGACCGGGGGCTGCTAGGACCTAGATGCTGGAGGAGTGTTGAAAAGTAGATGACAAGTGCAATGAGGAAGGCCTCACTGTGCGGTGATGAAAGTGTCCTGCAGTTCATTGAGATGCTAGTGACTGCACTACTTCCTTAATGCAAAACCCGATGCCAGCTGCACTTCAAATGAACAAACTGTATAGTGTGCGGGTTACGTGGCCGTAAAGCCACTGTATATTTGTTTAGAAAACTGTACGAGGACAAAAAAAAAAAAAAAAAAAAAAAAAAAAAACAACCCAACAAATTATGTGTTTTGTATACTCTAATAAATATCTACTTAGTGATTTCATCAAAGTACTTTATGACTATTTTGAAATTGTTCTAGTTAACTTAAACCCAGCTCTGTCTTTTAGGTGTTCCCTACTCAGAAAGTATGCCGATTGTGCACAATATAACCTGAATTGTGCCCCAGATTCAACTGTCTTTGAGCTGGATCTTGGTGTCTGCTGTAACCCAACCGTACTGTGCTGCACCTATGCAGCGCCCAACAGAACAAACTGTGTCAAAAACAGCGATTAGCTGATGATGCATGTAGCTCAATATTAACTGGTCCCTCATCACCTCCACTAAACCAAACCCAGGCCTGCAGAAAAGCTCCAGAAGGACTCAGAGCTACCCTTAAGAGAAGACGTCACTCACAGGACCCTAATATGTGAGAAAACAGTCTGTTTTCTTGTTTAGGAGGAAATTCCCAAAAGGTCCTAGCAACACTGATCTATTTACACCTACATTTGAGTTCAGGAGGGACAGTGTAGGAAGGCAAATGTTAATATATTCCAGAGTTCAATGAAATCCTGTCTGTGGTTGTGTGTGTGTGTGGGGGGGGGGAGAATCAGAATTTGAGCTGGAGCTGAGGAAGTGCCTGATGTAACAGGTTAAAGAGCATCAAAGAAGGAGGAGAAGGAGTAGGAGGAAGAGATAACTGAGTACTGAATGTCCTGGAAAAGAAATAAGGTAGAGAAATGCTGACTCAACCATCAAACAAGTTATCTCAACAGACAAGCTTCCATGACTAGACTAGACACATGGTATCAAGCTTTCTCCAAAAATCCCCAGAAACCTCACAAGAATACTTTAGACAAAATGGGGCTAGGATGCAGGGTGTCCTAGCCATAGGCCCAGATGTAAACTTTAGAAAGCATGTACTTCAAGTTTCTTGACTCCTATAGCAACACAACACAAAGTGAGCCTGGAGCATGAGGAAGGCTCATCCAGAGGGAAAGTAAAAGAAAACCAGAAAACACTATTCAAGGCACAGGGATTCAAGACCTCACATGAGCAACTGTCTCCCATCCCAGAGGCCTAAATCACTGCTATTCTTTCAGAATAAGGCCATTTCGCAAGGCAGAAGCTTTTGGGGGTATTTCTTACTGAAAGGAAAACTAGTGCTTTTGTCTGTCTTAGAAAAGAAAACTCATACATTTTTTTTCTACCTTATTTCGTTCCATCTCTGAAACAAACTGTGTGCAGTGATATTCTGTGGATGGAGACGTGCTGGCCTAAGAAACCAAGGAACTTCCCTACAATCCCATGTGGCAAGCGGCATGCCTCCTAACCCTGTGTTCTGGTCTGCATTTGCCTACGCCGACAATTAAGGACTTGGAGTATGAAGGACTGCTTCTCTTCGTTTTTTAAACGCATGAGTGTTCTGCCTACATGCAAGTTTGTGCACATCGTGCGGAGCCCACAGAGGCCAGAAGAGCCACCAGAACTAAAGTTTCAGATGTTTGTGAGCTGCCACGTGGGTGCTAGTAACTGAACCCTGGTCCTCTGTGATAGCAACGGCTGAGTCATCTCTCCAGCCCAAAGGACTGGTATTTTGATGGAGAATTTTTAAATAATTATAAAACTAAGCCAACTGGAGGTAATACACTAAGAGAATGAAAAAAAAATGCAGTAGGGTTTTGAGTACCCAAAATTCAGGGCTTTCACAACAAAGACAGCAGGGGAACCATTACTCAAATGAAGATGGCTCTAACGCATTTTATCTAGTCACCAACACCTGCAGCGTCTTCCTGGGTTACCGTCAGCACTTCTAAAGAATGCATAAGAAGATAAGAACCTGGGGATTTGAGAACTGAACCTCTCTGCACATCACTCAGGTTGTATTACATACCCTGTAAACGCTAATGTCTGTGACGTGCTCCCAGAGGGGTCAGTACTTGCCATAACCAATAAATACACAAGACGGAGAGAAGAGAATCATTGTAGTGACATCAGCTTTTCTCACACTAATTCAAAGACAAGACCACAGTGAAAGCTGCGGTTGGCTTTCCTACTCGCCCGAGATTAGCGTTCATCCATGAATCTTCGACTTGAGATTCCAGGGCAAACTTTCCAACTATTCCTACCCTACCAGGGACACTGAACTCATCTAAGCCCTGTGGCTCTTTGATGACATAAGGGAATAGAAAACGAAGCATCCCTACACTGCAAAATCCTAATGACAAGAATATTTTGCTCTAGGAGCATTTCTGAATCTATCACCAAGAATATCCACCACACAAAAGCACCTGTAGGCTGCCACCATTAAGAGAGGAAATGTGGGGCCTATTTCTCTTTGAGGTCTTGGTCCAATAGTTACCAGGTGTACGGAATATAGGACAAAGTGGCCCAGGTTCTAATCCACCCTCCACCAGTAATGAGGTAACCTTCTTTGAGGGCTTGCTCTTCCCAGCTGGAGACCTCTGCTGTTCAAACTGTAGAGCACAGAGAAGACCACCCCCAAAGACTGCTCCAGCTCTGCCCACCAGCTTCTCCTGATCCACCGGTTTCACGGATTCCCCTGCAAATACCTGTTTCTTGGTCACGGTGCCATCCACAGGGTCCACATATTCAAAGCTGTCTGTCTTTGCAACGCTGTAAATGTGGCTCCCCACAGCAAACTGCTGGCCGACAAAGGACTTGTCCGTCACCAGGGCCTCCAAATCCCTCATGATGTAATACGTTGCCTTGGGCTCCAGTCCCTCATAGTCAAACCTGTTGGGGGAGGCAAAACAAAATCCAATCAGGGGACCAGCAATTGGGTAGACCCCCTCATGGCTCTGGTTCCAGGAAATACAAAAAAGCATGTTTGACAGGTCTCGCTTTCTCCTCACAGCCTGCCCAGTGCATGGTGAGGAGTCCTTGGTGGCCAGAGTCCTTGCAAAACCTGAATTATGTTGCACCTTTCTCAGAAGCCCTTCCCCAAACTCCTATTATGTTGAGAATAAAACCTAAGACCCCAACCACAGTCTATCACACATTGTAGGATGCAACCCCACTCTACTTAGCTTGATCTAACTGAGTTTGTCCCACTCTGCACCCTGGTTCACTCACTCCAGGCACCGTGGCCTCCAGCTCAGTCCTCGGTGACACCACAGCCATTCCTGCCATTTTGCCCTTGCTCTTGGTTCTCTCTGTCCCATCTGTTCTTAGACATCTTTGTACCTACCTGGCTCATCCTGTTCTTTCAATATCCAAATCTCTTGAACGTGACATTCTTAAGCATCCATCTATCCAAGTAGCTTCTTCCCTTTCTCCCCTTACCTATCACCCCCTGTACATTTTCTTTTGCATTGTCTTATGGATCCCCTCGGGCTTGTTTCTGTTATTTCTTTACTCTAGTCTGTCTTTGCCCTCCAGAATGTGAGTTCAAGAGGGTGCAGACCTTAGCTCTCTTATTCTCTGCAGTTTCTGGAGCTATGTAAGTAGTCTGGGATAAGGAGCCAGTGGGGGGTGGGGAAGAAAAAAATGGGAAAGAGAAAGCGAATTGAGCATACTATAAAAATCCCTGGAGAACTTGAAAGAAATATCACAATTGTTCCATTCAAAAAAGTCTTCCTCACCACAAGCATCAAATCTAATAGTAGGGCTGGAGTGGTAATTAGAAAAAAAAAATAAAAAGATTGAAAAATATTCTTTCCCTGTTTATTTTGGAGTTTGAAATATGATGATGCATTCCACACAGCTGGCACAATGCCAGGCATCAGAGATGAAAACAAAACACAAAAGCTTTTCATTGGTTTATTTGCTTGCTTTTTCCCCCTTTAGTCACTAATATTAAAAAAAAAAATGTCTCTCCAAACATTAGATAATAGTCTCCAAATCCAACTGGCATACCATGGCAGGGATGGCTATTTGCAAATGGAGCCAGAGGAGGGGCAGCTGAGCTCAAGTGGTTTTACTAGGACTTTACATCTGGGCTTCCTGCCCCATGGAGAATGCTCAGAGTGAGCTGAAAGATGGAAACCCTTAATAGTTGCTACCACTTCATCAACTTGAGAGTTTCAAAGACGTCCACTAAACATCAGAACATTTGCCAAAGTGGGGGACGTGGGATGACACCTCATCTACGATATCCTTTTCCTCCTCCTACTGCAGGTGTTTCTTCCTCAGCTCCAGAAACAAGATAACAGAGAAATCCTTATACCGCTCTGAGTAGATGTGTCCAGACATGGGATTCTCATTAAAGACAGCGACTCTGGGAGAGGAAAGACCGATCTAAGATCCAAGCACGGCAGTACAGATTTGTATTATCAGCACTCAGGAGGCTCAGGCAAGAGAATTAAATGTGAGTTCAAGGCCAGCCTAGCTCCACGGTAAGATTCTATTAAACAAACAAACAAATGCAAGGCAAGCAGAAAGAGGCAGGAAGATGGACAAGACAGGAGAGCGTTTAGGCAAAAGTTCAAAACTTGAGAACATTTACTAATGAGGAAAACCATGTTGAGTCTAACGCTCAGATCATGTCCAAGCACTTGCACTACCTAGTGGTCATCTTCGTGTACAAGCGAGTCCCTCCTTTCTCCTCCTTCCTCTCTCCTCCCTGCCCTCCCCTCCCTCCAGCCTGAGGACCCCTCCAGTCACCGCCACCAGTACCACATTTTCAAGGGATACAACCTTAAGTGGAGAACAACTTCTGGGGTTTACGCAGAGAATATTGGAGACTTTTCTCAGCTACAACTTTAGTCCCAGAATTAGTGACACTTGAAATTGTTTTATGATTTCCTCCCTTCCAAGAAAAATGTCAGCTAGAAATCATTTACTTCAAGAACCCCTCCACCCAACTTGCCACTTGCTGGGATTGCAGGAGATGTTTGTCTTTTGCTGTACCTGCTCCCTACTCCCTTCTTCTTAATCTCTGTGACCTTTTTGGACAAAAATCTGAAATACGATTCAATGTCCTGCAAGAAATTAAATCTCTATTGCATAGTATTCTCTAATATGGTATTGTTATGAAGAGAGCAATTAACATTACAAGTTCTTGGCCACAAAACATGAAGTATATTATAAATATACTTATCATCACACCATTTCTTCAGAACGCTGGCAGGAACCTAGATAGACATCCCACAAATTATAAAGAGCACATCTCCAACTTAAGAGGATTCGCTCAGCCAGCTAGCAAGCACAATATGTTTTTATCAGGTTGGAATCTTTATAAGATCTTCATACAACAGAAGAATTTCACATGCCAATTAGTCTTTGAATATAAATTAAACAAATATGTAAATAAAATTCCCCAAGAATCAGGGGTGTGTGGCCCATGTCAGAAATATTGATGAACAAGACAAGGTCCTACCTAAGAATTTCTGCTTTATGACTCAATAAATTATGTGCTGGTTTATTTATTGTCACATTCCTAGTCTTCTTAACGAACCAGGAATCAAAGTTATTACGGCTGCTGTCTGTATTTCCAGAACATTTGGGTTCCTTCGAGTTTAATAAGCACCATCGCGGTCTTCCTTATTCTCTGGTATTTATCTAAGTAAATGGCTTCTCAAAAGAAGAAACAATCACCATATAAGGGAAAAGTCTAAAGCTCTTTGCCCCTTGAGCCCTTGAAACTCAACTGAATACCCAAAGCTGATAACTGAACACAAGCAAAGCAGAATGAGCCACAATCTCTGTCTGAGGCCACCAGAATGTCCTCTTTTCTCACACAGAGTTGTCCATAATCAACAATTTCTCTACCTCCTGTTCCTCTAATCATGGTGTGATACTAGGAAATATAACCTTGGAATGTTCTTACTCTTTCTTACTTTGACAACAGGAAATGGGTAGACGACCTATCCTGAGTTCCGGCCCACTGTACTTTCATTTGCCGCCTTCAGTGGTACTATTTCCCTTCTCTGTGTCTCTTTTCATGGGGTACACAGAGTTTGGCAAAACTCTGGGGCTGTTGAGCCACATGGGCCATACAAGAGTCCTGGCTCAGCCATGTCAGAATGCTTCTGGCCATTAGTGTGGGGACTAGACCCATGCTAATGCTGGGAGAAGACTCCAAAGACACCAGACTATGAACTTCTGTGTCTGCTCACTCCTTAAAAAGATAAATGTGGGGACTGGAGAGATGGCTCAGAGGTTAAGAGCACTGTCTGCTCTTCCAGAGGTCCTGAGTTCAATTCCCAGCAACCACATGGTGGCTCACAACCATCTAGAATAAGATCTGGTGCCCTCTTCTGTCATGCAGATGTACATGCAGATAGAGTACTCATGTAAAATAAAGAAATAGATCTTAAAAAAAAAAAAAAAAAAGATGGATGTGGAACAAACAAGAAATGCTTTGACTACAGGACTCACAGCTCCCATGGATGACAAGGAGTTTTTCAAAGCTCTGCATTTCGATGTCCTGTTGACAGGACCGCTCACTTTGCTTTATACTTTCTATGAAAAGATTATGGAAGGATGTCACCAGGGCAAGTAAAATCTGTCCCTTAATTTTAGTAGCCCTTGACACTACTCGCAAACAGCCAGCCCTAGTCTTCCAATCATGCAGACGTTTCTAAAAGATGCTTTCTTCTTAAACTCTGGCCCATCAGTTTTAGAAAACACCTTTAAGAGTAGTTTTTAGAGACCCTGCCCCTTCTCACCTGCAGTAGTAGTGGCGGCCATATTTGGCCCAATGATCTCTAACAATTTCTTCCACGCTCTGTTTCCGGGCAGCAATAATGGACAGCCAGACCAAGACAGCCCAGAGACCATCTTTCTCTCGGAGGTGATCAGATCCTAAGGCAAAAAGAGAGATTCTGTTGAGGGTTCTCTCCTGGGGAAAGCAAAGGGAATAAGCCCATTTAGCAGCCTGGAGATAAATTGAAATGGTTGTACTTGGTATGCTGTAATATATTTAGACAGTTTTTTTCCTTTAAAACTATGTAACTGAAATTCAAATAATATCAAATAACAACAAAATATATGATAAAATCCTGAAAATTGTTGAAGAAATGGAAGACTCAGAATGACATAATGTTACCTTTTATTCATCATTTTACTCAGTAAAACGATATTTGATAACTCCTACAATAATCTAAGCATTTTTCTATATCCTAGAGATAGAGGAGTAAGCAAGAAAGTTCTTTACTCATCATCTGAATTCAAGTACATAGAGGCAGGCAAGACCAAAGCAGACAGAAGAATATGATACGTCAAATAAGGACAGATGCTTTCAGGAACCAGAGAGCAGCAAGAAAGGCAGTCGTTTGCCCCAAAGACATATCCCCCTGTAATCTATGGATGTGGGTTTATTTAGGGGAAATGGTCTTTGAAGGTGTGATTGAGTTAGAGGTCTTGAAATAAAGTCATCCTGGAATATCCAGGTGGATCCTAAATCCAGTAGTGATGTTCTTATGACCAAAGTCCTGAAAAGGGAGAAACAGCCCCAGGCTGCATAGACACAGCGCCTGGAATTACACTGTGTGATCTAAGAAGCACACAGAGGCAGCTGACACTGCAGAAGCAAGAAGGGATTCTGCACTGCACTCGTCACTGTACGCATGGCCCTGACAGCACCTTCGCGTTGGAGGCTTGGCATCTGGGACTGAGAAAGAGTACATCTCTATCATTCAAACCGCCCAGCTTGTGCAACCCTAGAGTCTACTGCAGTTGTGAGAGTCAGGCCCAAGGAGTTAGTCACACCGGAGAATAAGACATCAGGATGACGAAATGCATGCAGACAGCTAGAGAAGGAGGCATCCAAAGCAAAGGACGGCAAAGCCAAAATCCCGGAGGCAGGGATGACTGAAAGGCTGCAAAGAGAAGCATCTCTCATTGTGGCCCTCATAAAAATAACCCATGCAGCCTAAATGGGGAGTTCACTGCGCCACAGGGACCCAGCAGGTTGGACTGCAGGGACATTTATCGTCTGTCTCTTGTCCAGGCGCAAGCTTTCTCTGAAGTAGACAAAGCCCTGAATTGAAAGGAACACTGTCATAGTGTGAGAAAAACATGAGGAAGATTTTGGAATGAAGAACCCAACAAACCTCTCCCGCTTGTCAAGTATAGAATATCATTTAGAAGTAACTACTCCTTCCGGGCCTCAATTGCTCAGCAGTAATATGACACTATCAGCAATTTTGCGATCCCGTCACAATTTAATCAAGTTCAAAGGGCAGACACTAGGGTGGCAGTGTATGCCTGTATTCCCAGTTAACCCAGCCTGGGTAACAGAGTAAGAGCCTGTCCTTTAAAAGGCAGTGAAAGGAGGAACATTCTAGAAACCAATTTTGCATGTTCAGGTCCTGCCTTAGCCACTTACTTCTGTTTGCAATACTTGTCTATGATAAAATAATAGTAACGGCCTACAGCTCTACCCTACAGCTTTTTCTGGGATTAATCAACTAAATAGCCATAACTATTAAGTAGTTGGAAGTGACTGAGATGTCACAGGGGTTGTGGCTGAGGGTAATTCTCATAAAGTGCCTCAATACTTGCTTTAAAACAAATCATTCCATTATTAACACGAGCCTCTTTCTTTTTCTTCTGACTCTAGCGATAGCACCATCTTAAGAACTGAGACTGGGGGTGGGGAGTGCTGGAGAGATGGCTAAGAGCAGCGGCTGCTCTTCCAAAGGACCTGGATTCAATTGCCAGCATCCACATGACAGCTCAAAACTGTCATGTAACTCCAGATCCAAAGGATCTGACACCCTTATACAGACATAGATGCAGGCAAAACCACTAATGCACCTAACAGAAATAAATAAGTTGTTTAAAAGAAGGAAAGAAAGAAAGAAAGAAAGAAAGAAAGAAAGAAAGAAAGAAAGAAGGAAGGAAGGAAGGAAGGAAGGAAAGAAAGAAGGAAGGAAGGAAGGAAGAAAAAGAAAGAAAGAAAGACCTGAAACTGGGACCAGAAGTGGACCATGTCTTACATGTCTTACTGCAATCGGGCAGGGACAATGGACAAGCTCATTCTTGATTTCAAGATGATGAAATAGACATAGAAAATCAACAAAGCAGACTCAGGCCACAGAACTCTTAAAGCCTTAAAAATGGGACCAAATAGTTTGCTAGTTAAGTTAATCATCTGCAAGAACTAAAGCTGTAACAGAGTGTGTAGAGTTGTTCTTCTACCTACAGTACTAAGTGTTAAGTATTTTCCCTTGAAGAGAAAAACATGAAACCAGAGAGGGCAGTAAAGCAACTTAAATCAATAGGAAAAAGAGACGCATTTTTAGTCTTTAGTTCTTAACACACACTGATCAATGGTCTGCCAGGGACACTGGTGGATGCCCCACTGAGGTTGGCTCCAGCTTAGGAAGACCCTGGGCATTTATCATCACACCATAAAGAGACTTGTCCCAGCCAGTGAGTCCTTCATGCTGCTACAAAAAAAAAAAAAAAAAAAGGGGGGGGGGAAGAAATTTGGAAGGCTCAGGCTTAGCAATATGGCCAGCTGCCAAAACAACAAGTCTAGGAAACCCTGCCCAGTGCAATCATCTCAAGCCCTCTTGTCCTTTTATAGCTGGGGGGAAAAGTCACTTTCACTTACTGGCTGGAGAAAAATACTCTTTTGTGTAAAACAAGGGCTTTGCATACCTTGGCTCTCCAGCTGGATCACATTACCAGAGATAGAACCATTAGGTGCTATTAAGTCCTTAAGATAAGATGTCAGAATTTAGTGGCCCAGAGACACAGAGTTCTCTTAGATGGATAAAACCCACCCCGGTCATCTGCAGATAACGCATAGTAAATTGTGAGCTGGCCCGGACATCTTTGCCAACAGGGCCAACAATTGCCAAGAATCATAAGGAGCTGATGATCAAGTGAAGTTAACTGTGCTCTCTAGTTTGCTGAGGAAGTGAGAGAAACAAGAAATCATGCTGTAATTATTCAGATGTTTCCATTGGATAATCGCAATGCTCGGTGGGGGTGGAGTCCTTTAACACATCTTTAAGGCAAATGAACTCCAGTGCCCTCTCAAAGTCAGGTAAATTGCGTGAGGAATATGAACACACTAAGAAGCAAGTAGCTTTCTAAAAGCTTATTATAAATAAGTGAAAATGTTCACATGCACACAGAATAGATACATACATACATACATACATACATACATAATAAACCATATACTGTAAAATGTTTTCAGGATTCACTGCAAGGACTCTCAATAGACAGCTGTGGGAAAGTCACAAGCAAGCACTTATTTTTTTAAGCCAGTGCACCATAAGCCACTCCCCCAAGCCAGCAACTATCAAGAGGAAAATAATAATGGCCAGAAAACATCTGAAGAAATGTTCGGTCTCACTGTGGTCTAAGAAGAGCCAATAGAGTGGGGTGGCATTTGGAGGCGATCACGCTAACCAAGGCTGGCTCAAAAAGGAACTGTCCCTGCAACAATAAAGCACCAATGTAGACGAGGGCAGTTTGGGCCAGTAGATTGAGACTAATAGCCAAAGCCTCCACACTCCGGTAGTCTTCAGCAACATAGAGTGACACTCATGCAGTTTTTATAAATGAAAAAAATAATAGCTTAAAAATAATATCAAGTGTATTCTTGTGGAAAATATATGGAGATGTGTGGGGCACAGGGGTACAACAGAACCTCTGACAACTGTCATATATTGCCAAAATGTGAGAATTCAGGTCGCTTTTCTTCTCTGCCTCTTGTTTTATTTCTGCAATAAACATGTATGCATTGTTTTCAAAACTTAAAGATTTTAAATTTGCCAATGATACACAGAAATTTAGATGTGAAACGCGTGTTCCAGAGTGTCGTGTGGCTGATTCAGCCAGTATGCGGCCTTTTGAGGCGAGTTCCTTCCACTCGGGAATATACCTGTCTGTGTCCTTCCTGTCTTCTCATGGCTGGGTTGGCTCACCTCGGAGCACTGAGCAGCTAGCTTCCGGCTGGTCCTACAGCCCAAACCTGCCATTCAGTTGGGACAAAGCAAGGAGAATTGAGCCCTAACTTCAAGTCTGGAGGCACCATTCCGCTTTCCTTCTTCCATCAAAGGCAGCCAGACCCAAGCCCACTCCATCTTCATCTTCCCAGCCTGCACCACAGCCATCATGCCAGAGACACAGGAGGCACACTTCTTCCCTGCCAGATTCCAGCAAAAGGCAGCACACAAGAAAAGACCTATTTTCTTGTCAGAAATATCACTGATATTTCTCAAATTCCACCTGGAAATTTTTCAAACTTTTTCAAACTTTAAAACCACATTCCTTGGGCCTGCGTGACCTCTGAGGGGGTAAAAAGAATTAGCACACAAGCCCGATAACCTGAATGTGATCCCTAAAACCCACAGTGGAAAGGGAGAAACAATCTCCACATGATGCCCCACCCACACTATACGTACGTACCAATCATCACCATCATTATCATCACAAATAGTTCCTTAAGGTCAGTGGTATGCCAATATACATGCTGGACTCGCCAGAGAAGACAATAGATGAGAGAGAAATAAAGGACTGTCAATAAAGGAAAGCAGCAGGAATTTCTTCAAGTAGGCAAATCAATAAAGCGTCACACACGTACATTGCTACTGAGTCGACTCAGCAATACACCCGGGGAACGCTGAATCTAAGGACAGTTATATGTTATATATAATAATATATGTTATCTTATATTATGGGCTTCCTGCACTCACACCTGGCACAGCAGGGCTGTCAAGACTGTGACTGAACTCTAGCACAGACTAGCGGTTCTCAAACCTGAAGGGCCAGTCATACCAGGCATTGGGAATCCTTTCCAACAGCTCCCTGGGTGAGTGTCACCGGCAGCCAGGGCTGGG